GTTACTGAAACCACGCCTTCTTTCTTTGCGTGCACATTTGGGCGCATTATGCTAATATTTCCACATAGTGAGGTAGATATGTGGGGGCGTGTTAGAACGAGCTGTTTTAGGGGGGCGTGGCAGAGTCTTAACTTTGATAAAGAATATCTCTTTGGTTTTGAGACTTTAGTCTTTGCAACTTCAGGGGTCTTATCTATGCACAATCAGCTTGTTACACTCCAAAGAGAAAGGAAAACTTGAAATCGCATCATATGACCCCTTTAAGAAACATATATTTGGTATAATAATGAGAAAATTACATTGAGGTTGATGATTGTGTTAAATACATTCTATTATTAATCCCTCATGACATTTAAAATTGAAAATATTTTTATTTTTAAACCTAATAGCAGTTCCCCTTTCTGGACCTGTTTTGTCCCACGTCTCAAGAATGACTGAGCTAACATGTTTGGACCTAATTCTTTGACAGGTGGTCTGAAGTCAGGTTTCTTCCAGGTGCCATGATTGTAGGCTAAATGTGAAGGAACATTTGCAGGACAATGTCTGCTCTGCTGATTGCCATCTCAGCATTTCTCATCTCGGCAGTTGTATTCATTTTGCTCTTTAGGTAGGTAAGAAGCCAGCATGCTGGAATTAATATGCGAATGTACTACAGATATTGCAAACGCAATATTAAACCTATTAAAACGGCCCTCTTTGTGTTTTATTAGATGGTTTGCTTGCAGTTTGGCTGTCCGTTTTTTCCACAATGTCCTGAATGCTGAGCTCAGGATCAGATCTGTGGGTCTGTTCTCAGTGCGAGGAATCAGTGTTCAGTTTCAGCCTCAGCACACTCTGGTGGGTTTGTTTTCTGCATCAGTATGTGTCACACCACATATCGGCCCTATTACAATCCTCATAACCCTCTAAAGCTTGACATATGAATTAATAGTCCGAAAAATCTATTTTAAAAAATGTAGTGTTTATTGTATAGTAAGATGATATTTAAATGCAATGATGCAAAGTGCAATGATGATTTGAGAGATGAACAAATAAACATTCCTCAAAAGCCTGATGTATTAAATGTGACGCTCACAATTGATGTATGGATAATTAAGTAAAGTTAAGTTGCTTCAGTCCAGTAAATGTTCATCTACATGTAAAAGTTATTCTTATGTTAGCTTTATAAAAATCAGTAAAGATTTCACAGCGAAAAGACACATTTGCCACTACCTGAAAGCAGACTTTTTTACAATCCTACTAAAAGGTCTTTTACTTGCTACAAAGTACAAACTATCAATCAGATGACAGAAGGCATATAGTAGGCATATAGTAGATTGTGTACAACAGGTTTTTCCGGCAACGTTTTGATCATGTTGATAATTTAGAGGCCTTAGAAATCCGCATAGCAATTATAACACAGTAGGCTTTATAGAGTTAAAAGCTGCAACTGATGTAATGCTTTGATGTCTAATATGTATTCTAGCACTATAAAGCCTTTTTCTGTTTTGTAGGAAATTGACAGGGTATGGATTTCTTGCAAAATAGTTAACCCGGACCTGCCGTAAGTATAGTTATATGACGTAGTTAGTGTAAATATTGTCTGTTGATGCTCGGTCATAGTGATCATGTTGTATTTGTTAGGAGGTTCTTGGCGTTGTGTGTGGGTGAGGCCCGGGTCCGCTTTGACCTGCAGGAGCCATTTAAGCCCCGGGCTCCTAAAAGCAAAGAGGAGAATTCAAAAAGACCTCCTCTCAGTCCCTCTACCCTGCACCCTCTCTCTCAGGTAATCAACTTGACTGTTGTTTAGGAGTATCCCAGGTTCAGTGTAAGTTAAGCTCAATGCATAGCTGACATGCTGTTGATGACCACAGAAGATCAATATATATTGTTATGAAGAAAAGAAAAGGGTGTTACAGTAATGAACTTGCAATGAAAGTCAATGGGGCAAGGCAGAAAGTACATGCTATTTCAAAAACATCACACGTTCTCCATGGACTTTCACTGCAAGTGCAATACTGTAGATACAGTTGTACAATTCCTTTAGAGTTTTGAGTTGTGTCTGCTCCGCAGCTGCTGTCGTTCCACATTGACTCTATAAATGTGATGGTGTTGAATCTGGCCCTGCCTGAGTCCCTCTGGCACATGACGTCCTCTGCCATCACCTTGCTGCTGGATCGTCAAAGTAAAAGGTGATTAACCTGTGAAAAAAATAACTTCTGCTCTTTAAAAAGACTTCTGCATGGTGTTGTGTGACTAATAGCTTTGTGCATAGCGGGTAACGCTCAGACTGGCAACCGGATGGGATGCACTGACTGAAGTTTTAGAACCATTAAGCTGGTACTTATTTTCATGTTGTGACCAATATAAATGAATAACAAATTGCCATCAATGCCCATGGCAATAAATGGCCAATATCTAAATTCTATACTATTTAGTCTAAATCAATTACAAATAAAACTTAAAAAAAATAAATCAGTCAATGGTAAAAGTACAATTTAAGCATCATAATATTATAAAGAACAGTATGAGAGATGGATATTTATTTAATAGTGTTATTAAATTACTAGTTTTTAACAACTAGCTTTAAGTGAGCAAGTGAGGATTGGTAAGATTGATTGATAATTATTTTTTTTTTTTAAGTTTCTTATGCTAACCAAGGCTGCATTTATTTGATCAAAAATACAATAAAAACATAATTTGAAAAATTATTAAAATTTAAAATAACTGTTTTCTATTTTCACTTTTTAAACTGTAATTTATTCTTCTGATGATGAAGCTGAATTTTCAGCAGCCGTTATTCCAGTCTTCAGTTTTTATGGAAACCATGATGCATTTTTTTCAGGATTCATTTCTAAATAGAAAGTTTAAAAGAACAGCATTTATTTTGTGAATGTCTTTACTGTCACTTTGTAATCAATTAAATGCGTCCTTGCTGAATAAAAGTATTAATTTCTTTAAAACAAATAAAAAAAAATCTTACTAACCCCTACCATTTTGAATGCTAGTGTAATTTAAATGTAAAAATAGGGGATATGAACATTCGCAATTAAATATCCAATATCTACTGATACTGATAAATAGATTTTTTTATTTTAATAACCAATATGGTACCAGTATGTTGTGCATCCCTCTTCCACAAGGATCAAACCACAATCATTCACCATTTTGGCCCTGACCAAGGCATTTAGAGAAACAGTTTACCCAAATGCCTAATAAAATGACAACTTACTGGTATGTTGTCAGGTTGGCCTGGGATTTCTCTGTGGGACAACTTAGCAGTAAAGTTCTGAAGAGCAGCAGACTAGTATGTACAGCACACATTCATGTGTTAATGTGTTACCTCATTATGTTGTGTACAAAACATAAATGTCTGGGTTAAATGGTTACAAGGTGCTAACAGAGTGCCTGTCCTCTCATTAGCAGGACACATGTCTGGCTGAGGTATCGCTGAGTCTGGCCCTAAATGGAGACGTGAGTCTGCCTGGTCTCAGGCCGGGTCATCTGGGACTGTGTGTCAGAACTCTGCTGGCTGAGCTTCACGAAGGCCTGTTTCTCAGCCAGTTACCCAAACCTCCAGGAGCTGCTCCCACTGACTGCACCAGTCATATTGCAGGTTTGACGTTTAAACTACACTCCTTACATTAGAGCTATGCAGTTAATCATAATACAACAAAATCTTAATGTAGCTTAGTGCAATTATCAAATCGCAAAGGCTGCAATTTCATAAAAAAAATTTAAACTGGATGTTGTTACCAAAAGAGAAGCTTTAAGGACATCCTGCAGTTTTACACCAAAATAAAAGCCTGATGGTTTAATATTACAATAGTGTATTTTTATTTTGCTATAATGATAATAATAATAATAATATGTGTGTTTATATATATATATATATATATATATAT